TTCCTCTTTGCCCAGGAGCTGCAATGTGCACCGAGAGCATTGTTCCCCACCTTTGCCCCCTCCACCTGTTGGGGGCTGGGTGAGCTGTTTCCTTTCTGATGTGCATCGTGCCCAGGGTGCAACGTCAGAGGTTGTGATGTCAAGACACCGATGCGTCTGATTTCATTCTGCTGCTGCCACATGGGGTTGTACTTGTTGCTGTGCTGGCAAGGTGGGCTCGCCCCCTCCTTGCATTGCCCTGGGAGGGACCAGTGGTTCTATCACTGTGATAAATGGCAGTGGCAGATGAACTGTGCTTTCTTTTTTCTCTTAGCTGCTAACGACTACAACCTACACTATAGTGTGAACCTACATATCCAATATGGTAATTTATTTTGCATGTTTTCTTTTTACATGGTTTGGGCTTTTGAGTTCTAATACTATATGAGCCCTTTGGGCTAAACTTCACATGGTCCTTATTTCCTTTCCTTTTCTCTCTTTTTTCACCTCTGAGGTGTTCGTTCCTAGCAATATGTTATCTACATTGCCTTGAAAAACTATTCATACCCCTTGAAATTTTCCACATTTTGCCATGTTACAACCAAAAACGTAAATGTATTTTATTGGGATTTTATGTGATAGACCAACACATAGTGGCACATAATTGTGAAGTGGAAGGGAAATGATAAATGGTTTTCAAAATTGTACAAATACATATCTGAAAAGTGTGGCGTGCATTTGTATTCAGCCCCCTTTACTCTGATACCCCTAACTAAAATCTAGTGGAACCAATTGCCTTCAGAAGTCACCTAAATAGTAAATAGAGTCCACCTGTGTGTAATGTAATCTCAATATAAATACAGCTGTTCTGTGAAGCTCTCAGAGGTTTGTTAGAGAACATTAGTGAACAAACAGCATCATGAAGGCCAAGGAACATATCAGACAGGTCAGGGATAAAGTTGTGGAGAAGGTTAAAGCAGGATTAGGTCATAAAGAAATCTTAAGCTTTGAACATCTCATGGAGCACTGTTAAATCCATCATTCAAAAATGGAAAGAGAGTATGGAACAACTGCAAACCTACCAAGACATGGCCGTCCACCTAAACTGACAGGCTGGGCCAATAGAGCATTAATCTGAGAAGCAGCCAAGAGGCCCATGGTAACTCTGGAGGAGCTACAGAGATCAATAGCTCAGGTGGGAGAATCTGTCCACAGGACAACTATTAGTAGTGCACTCCACAAATCTTATGGAGGAGTGGCAAGTAGAAAGCCATGGTTGACAGAAAGCCATTTGCAGTTTGCAAGAAGTCATGTGGGGGACACAGCAAATATGTGGAAGAAGGTGCTGTGGTCAGATGAGACCAAAATTGAACTTTTTGGCATAAAAAGCAAAAGCGGTATGTGTGCCACAAAACTAACACTGCACATCATCCTGAACACACCATCCCCAGCATGAAACTTGGTGGTGGCGATCAATTCCAGGGGAGGAGCCTAACTATGGCGATGTAGGAGAGCGTGGTGTGGGAGCTCTCCGTCCTTCCCCACCGCCTCAGATACAGATACTGAAGAGCAGGGACCAGGGGGACCTACCGGAGTATGGTGGGTCCCGTGTTAAAGCCGTTGCTCCGGGCGCTGTGAGGAGGAGGTGAACGGTGCCATCGGATTGAAGACAGGCTGGAGACCCGTCCTAAGGGAGAGAGGGCAGAGAGCAGGGTTGCCGAGGAAATGAGGAGGCTCGGCTTGACCACGTGTCAGCCGCAGAGAAGCACTGGGGAAAAGCCGGCCGGTGTTTAGAGGTGAGAGGAGAGAGGAAGACGCCGGTTTGCTCCCCTCCCAGTACATGAGACACTCATATGGGAGAAGTGTTCAGCAAGATGCCTCCCCCCCCCCCCCCCCTGAATGGAGGTGACTTTGTTACAGGGGAGTGTAACTGTAATTGCAGCGAATGGTGGTTCTACAAAGTATTGACTCTCAGGGGGCTGAATACAAATGCATGCCACACTTTTCACATATTTATTTGTAAAAAAATGTTGAAAACCATTTATCATTTTCCTTCCACTTTACAGTTATGTGCCACTTTGTATTTGTCTATCACATAAAATACATTTATGTTTTTGCTTGTAACATGACAAAATGTGGAACATTTCAAGGGGTATGAATACATTTTCAAGGTACTGTACTTACACCTTCTGTTTATAAAAGTCACAGGTTACATACCAACAAATCTATTTAAAGGATAAGCCCACGTTTTAACAAAAAAAAATGCACATTTTTTTGTAGGTAAAAAAATGTGCATTTATTATTTTTTTTGTTTCTGAAGCCTCTAAAGCATCAGCAGATCGGTGGTGCCATGCAGGTCTCCCTCTGACCTGTGATTGTATCTGCTTGCTCGTACATCCTGTACGGGCAAGCAGATACTTGCTGACAGAAAGGCTCAATGAATTACCACAGCAATGTGGAGCGCCGCGGCAGAAAGGCTCAATGAATTACCACAGCACTGTGGAGCGCCGCCGCAAAGGCTGCCGGGACTTGTAGTTTTCCCATTCACAGAATACTGTGAATGACTGGCACAGCCAGGCAGGCAGAGCCCTGCATGGCCTTTTTTTTTTAAATTGTGACAGCTAGCAGGAAGGAGAAGATCCCCCACTAGCTGTCACAATGGGGATCAGAAGGGTGCGGGGGCCGGTCCGTTTGTAACAAGTTACACCCCGCATATGGATGTAACATGTAACCTTACGAAAGGTGAACTTATCCTTTAACCACGTCAAGTCCGGACACTTTTACCCCCTTCCTGTCCAGGCCAATTTTCAGCAATACTGTACCCATATGAATTTTTTAGCATTTTTTTGAGACAGATAAAGCTTTATTTTGGTGGTATTTATTCACCACTGGGATTTTTATTTTTTTTGCTATGTAAATGAAAAAGTCCAAAAATTTTGAAAAAAAAAGTGTTTTTCTTATAACATTTTGCAAATAAATAATATTTCATCATAAATCTTGGCCAAAATGTATTCCTTTTCTTTTTAGTAAAAAAAAAAAAAAAATAACCCAAATTAGTTTATAACCAAAATTTATAATTTTTAAACATTTTTTTTTTACATATTTTATATTAATATTTATATTTTATTTATTTACATACTCTTACCCTAGCAGTACAGTGTCACCATGGTGACACTGTACTACTTGTGGGGGGTGAAGATTTTTTTTTTTTTTTTTTTTTTTACACGGATTGCTTTTACACCCATAAAGGCTGTAAAAGCAATCATTTATCCTTCTCTCTGGCTGCATTCTTGCAGCCATTGAGAACTACTGTGTGAGCTGTGATTGGTCACAGCTTGTCACATGGTACAAGGCTGTTGTGAATGGCCTTGTACCATGTGACCTCTGTGATCATTCACAGATTTCACACGTAGTAAGCAATGATGTCAGAAGTGACATCATTGCTTACTACTCTGCATGTGATCACTGATTGGCCAATCAGTGATCACATGATCGGGACCTCACACAGAGGTCCCATACGACGATCGGGTTTCCACTGTGTCCGGAGAACACAGCGGGCACCAGATTGCGGTGTTGCGCGCTCCCAGGCAGTGTGCACAAGCAGGGGACAGGGAGGTCCTTTATAAACGGCCACCCGACCTTACACTGCCACCGTCCAGCCGTTTATATACAACGGCTGGACGGGAGGTGGTTAAGGAAGTAATGTATATTGAAACATTTTTTTACAGAAATTGTGGGTACTTGTTTATGGGTATCACTATGAGCTCTATAGCACTGCACTCCTTTACAGTTGGTCTGCTCTCCATTTCCCCATGTAGACCTAATGGGTCTACCTGCCAAAGCTCCCGGGTTAGACATCTCCCATGGACCTTCAATTTCCAGCAGTGACATGTTTAATTCTGAGCAGATTTGTAAGTAGTAGGGCTATTCAACGATTATGGGGAGGCTTGTATTGTGATTCTCCTGATAGATATATTGTATACATTATGAATCAGCTCAACCTGAATTTGTATTGGATTTTATTGTAATGTAACATGAATTATTAAATTTACAAATACGCGTATTGATTATACAACAAATCTAAGGCCATGTGCTTCATTTAAAGTCCCAATATTTATGGATTTTGTATGGACATAAATGTATGTCCTATATAGTTTTTGTAAAGTGATTGTAAATGTGCAAATTTGAAAAAAAATAACAAACATGTCATACTTAAATGCTCTGTGTAATGGTTTTGCACAGAGCAGACATATCATCCTCTTCTCAGGTCTTCTGCTGCCTGTTCTGGCCCCTCCCCCCTGCCAAGCGCCCTCAGAGTAAGCAACTCTTTGTAAATTAAAACGAAATCTATTTACATTTAAGAAATAAATACTGGAAACAGGCTGCCCAGATCATTGTCCACGATTTAATAAAGGTTTAAAAAAAAAAAAAAAATTAGCAGATGGATTGTTCTTATGATGCACAACTATTGATTTGATGAATGTTCATTTTTCTATTTTCTTGTGCTTAATCTTTTAACAGAGTAGATGAGTGCTTAAAGAAACATTGTACTGAGGGAAAAAGGGTCTGTTACTTCTGAGAATAGTAGTTTTCTAGCTATTATGCTTACTTTCTGCCTTTAAAACTTCATGGAACTTGTATACAGGTCAGTCAAGACTTCTCCCTGGCTTCAGTCGCTGCATGCCCATTCTGAGTCCCCCCCACAGCTTTCACTGGTTTCTCCTTCTGGCCTACATCACCCCTACATCTTAGACATGTTGTTTAGAAGGAAAAACTAGTAAAACTGCAGGGGAATCATCAGGACCGACTATCTTGGAAGTATCAGTTTCTCAGTGGACTTGGGGAGAAAAGAACTTGGAAATGGAGTGGGAAAGGAGAGTATTTACTGCTTTGTTTTAGAGGTAACAAAGATTAAATTTTCACAAGTTTGAGTTAAAAACCAGATACTACAACTAATGTACAATCACAGAATATTTGATGACATACAAATAAATCAGCATTTACAGAGACAATCTACTAACTTGTAGCATAATTTCCACATATTGCTCATCCTCCAACAGGCAAAGGTAGGGATATATATTGATTCTGAGAGTCCTCTTGCTGATCTCTGCTAGCTGGCTCTTTGAGTCTTGCAGTGCACGGAGCAAAGTTTTACCCCAGACTGAGCGGAGACTAGCCAACACAGCTCTCTGCAAAACAACACACAGCAGTATGAGATGCTAAACAGAGAACACTCGCTAATACATCAAGATTCTGTAGGACAATGGCAACAACTAGCAAACTTGCAATGTATTTGAATCTAATTTAGAACCTAAAACAAAGGGTTACAGAAAAGATGAAAGATGTATATGAATATATCAGTTAACGTTAACTAAAACATGAATAGCATTAACTTCAGTTTGCCCTACCGCTTTCATGTTGGCATCAGTAACTGGTTTATTAGCCTCCACAGAGTTGATAGTCACTGTATCACAACTTTCAATTTTCAGTTGCTCTTCAAACCATTCCTGTAAGTCAGCCATTGTGAAGTCCATTTTGGGGTAACAGGGAAGAGGCTGTTAACATACAGACAAGAAAAAACAGTCAGACATTACTTTTTTATTTAGGTCTACTGATTTTACATTATTCAGGACTCTTATACTTAAGTGTACACTTGGAAAAAAATTCAAAACATATGCAGTGCATCTTTGCAATACATGCACATTTCCTCATGTTTTTCCCCTTTAGGCTCCATTCACATTAGGAACGCGCACGCTGGAAAACCGCTATATAAAAAATGGTCAATATAAGTGTTTTTTCCCGGCGTTTTTCACTTTTGTGCGCCTGTGTTTTGCAGTTTAGCTGGTTGTTAAAGCGGAGTTCCACTCACACTGTAAAAAAATAAAAGTCAGCAGGTACAAAAACTGTAGCTGCTGACTTTTAAAAAACAGCCACTCACCTGTCCCACGATCCCGTAGTGTCCTCCCCGCAGCCCATTTCACCGACCATCCTGTGTTCCAGGTGTAGGCATCTTCAGTGTGGGCACCCGGCTGTTACAGCTTGCAGCTTCACAGCCGGGTGCCCACTGCGCATATGCAAGTAGCGCTGCGCTTCCTGAATGGCCCTGTAGTCTTCTGGGACCTGTCACGTGTCCCAGAAGACTACAGGGACGAAGGGTAGGAGGACAACTTCCGCTTCCGATCACCTAGGCGATCGCAGCGGAAGTGGGAGCGGGTACCTGTCAATTTTGGGTACCAGCTCCGCCCCCGCCAATCCTTAATGGGGAGCGGGTGACCAGTCTTTAAAGCGGAACTTCCTCTTTTGGGTGGAACTCCGCTTTAAGGAGCAGGACCCCCCCAAATCCATACCAGACCCTTATTCTAGCAGGAGAAGAGGGGGACAAGCGAGCCACCCTTCCTCTCCTGAACCATACCAGGCCACATGCCCTCGAAACATGGTGGGGGGGGCTCGCCCCCAAAACACCTTGTTCCCATGTTGCTAGGGACAGGGGCCTCTTCCCCATAACCCCGGTGGTTGTGGGGGTCTGAGGGCAGGGGGTTTATCGGAATCTGGAAGCAGAAGTAGATCCAACATCAATCATGGTGAATGCCAGCTGCCGACCCGAAAAAATGTCAGCAACCGGTGCTGGCTCCTGCAGTCCGACAGCTTTGCCACCTTCCAACGCTAAATAAATGAAGGAAAAGGGCCATCCAGGGACATCACCAAGGGACCCTGTCCCTTGTGACATCATTGACCCAGCATGCCCAGTCGATGTTTACGCTCAGCTGTCAGCAGGGAATCCCGCTGACAGCTAATGAGTCATCTGTTGTCAATGACATAGCAACCGTCTGCTGAGCATTCAGCATTTTTTTCTGACAGCAAATTACCCCCAAAAATGCAAAAAAAAAAACAAAACATTTTTTGCTCCTAGAACCTGAAGCTTCAAAACCACTTCTAGACTAATATAGTGTGCATGGACACATAGGATAACAATATTTGCTTCTAGAGGTAGAAAAAAAACACTAAAAGCAGCTATTAAAAATGTATTTTTAAGCTAGTGTGCATGGAGCATTAAGGCCCATACACACAATAAGAAAATCATCCGAAAATTTTCGTATGAGGACCAATCGTCCGATAATCTGATCGTTAGTACACAGCTTTCGAGAGCCCATCATATAAATTCATGCGACAATATCCGAAAGGACAAGCGCAAAACTTTTGCTCATACGATATCAGATTGTATGATTTTCGGTTAAATCAGTACAATACAAATACAATACAATACATGACATTACTTTTGAAAATTCTTTCCTTTTGTACAAGAATTTTTGTAAGTTTAGTACCCTCTTCATTTTCAATATGGAGACTAGTATGCAAAAAAAAAAACAAAAACGGATGATCATTTGTGTGAAATTCTTATGTGTACGGGGCTTTACACATGCTGCAAGTACATAAACATAACAAAAAAACAAACTTCACATGATTTCTTTGTAACTATTTGTTTCAAATTAGTAATATGCTTTTATAAGGATCTTGTCACTTTTATGGGGGACAACAATTCTAGTCTGTTTTGTTTAGTCATTTCAATTAGTTGGCTGCTATTGGTGAAGACTAGAGGGTGATGCAGCAATATTTAGGGGTATTTATGGACCACATTGTCCAAGTTTTAATTTTGTTTGGAAAAGGTAAAAGATTTGAATCAAATGGTAGTTTTGTGATATCGTTTGATGCATTCACATTTTTAATCAAATTTTTCAGTAGGGGCCATGGTTTGCCTTCAGGTAAATTTGGATGCTTATAACACAGCTCCCGCACTTAGGCCAAGATTAACTCAGGAGACACCACTGAAACAAACCACCTTTATTACTCCAAAACTGGGCGCACTTGGGTGAGGAGAAGCCGGAGCTCCAGTGAGCTAACATTAACCGATCTGAGGAAGGGTCTTCACACATTTTTCTCCTGCACTGATGGGTCAGAGAGTTTAATACTGGTTTAAAACCCACTTAAAGGGCTACCAGGTGGCACTGTGAAGGAGTTAGATCTGTGAAATCGCAAAACATTTGTAGCACATTATACTTTGGTGTCACGCTAACACATGCTACCGAAATGTAGTGTAACACACATAAAATGCATTAGTGTGTTGCATGCAGAACAAAAAAAGGGTTGTGTCCAATTTTTGGTACTTCAGGGTGCATTGGCAGCCAATTAATTTCAATGGGCTGCCTCAACGCAACACATGTTAAAGTGGGTGTGTTAAAGCACTGCAGGAGAATAAAAGAGCCCTCAAACATTCACATTTTTCTGCAAAGTTCATCCTGTAACTGTGCCAGTAGTGATCTAGTGACACATCCATGCCACGCCACTCTTCTAACTTTCCACAGACATGCACTTATCACTGCCTAATCCACCATTTTCTACAAAAGTTTGGTTATTTACTTTTTTACATACTGCATTACATTTAAATCCAACTTACATTCTTGTAGAAATTCTTAACCAGTGGAGAGTCTAAAACATTTTCAGTTCTAGGAGCAGGCGTGAAGTCTGGCCTCGCCTGACCCGACGGATAGCCTTGAGCACCATTTGCCTTTCTTCTTTAGAACATTTCAAGCCCTGAAAGAGCTGGTCAACTGACATTCCATCCCTCTCGATCTGATTCAAGCAACTAAAACGAGATAGAATGAATTATAAATACTTTACAGAAAAAAATCTTTGCCCAATTCTAGCCAAAACTGTTTATTTTGTTTTTAATAAAGTGGGAAACGTTACATAGTTAGTCTGGGTGAAAAAGGACAAAAGTGCATCCAGTTCAACCATAAAAAAAAAAAAGTTATAACCCTACACCCACAGTTGATCCAGAAGAAGGCAAAAAAACCCCAGCAAAGCATGATCCAATTTGCTCCTGTGGGGGAAAAAATTCCTTCCTGATCCCCCGAGAGGCATCGGCTATTCCCTGGATCAACTTTACCTATAAATGTTAGTGTCCAGTTATATTCTGTGTATCTAAGATAGGCCTTTTTTAAAGCAATACACTGAGCTGGCCAGAACTATCTCTTGAGGGAGTCTATTCCACAGCTCTTACTGTGAAGAAACCTTTCTGTGTTTGGAGAATAAATTTATTTTCCTCCAGACGTAAAGAGTGCCCCCTTGTCCTCTGTGATGACCTCAGGGTGAATAATTCTACACCGAGTTCACTATATGAACCAGTGATGTATTTATACATGTTTACCATATCCCCCCCCCCTTAATCTCCTCTTCTCAAGAAAGAATAAATTCAGTTCCTCTAATCTTTCCTCATAGCTGAGCTCCTCCATGCCTCCTACTAGTTTGGTTGGAATGACTTAAAGACTCTTGTCACTAGGGACTCTGTGAAGACAGGAAATAATAAGCAATCTCTGCCACGGTCACACAGACAAAAACACATTTTTAGTAGATTAAGAAACGGTAAGAACTTCTCTAAATGTTTTCAATGCCATCCTGTCCAGATAAAAAAACAAACTCTCCTCATTTCTTGAACAGCTGTTACAGGGACACTTCAGATGCTTTCCCAAATTTAAAATGGCACTGTTTATATCTGGAAAACCTGATCATACTGATCTTGGTGAGATCAGATGTTTTAAGGGCAGATGAGATATATAGAGTCTAATAGACCCCAGATTTGTCAGAAAAGAATACCTGTCTCTGCCTATTGGGATCACTGAGGATATTTACATTCCCTAGGACAGGGGTAGGCAACCTGAGAGCCACGGGACTACAAGTTCCATCATGCCTCTGCGAGTCATAGATGTAACTGTCAGTTTTGTAATCTTTGCAATACCTCATGGGAAATATAGTTCCACAACAGCTAGAGAGCCGCAGGTTGCCTACCCCTGCCCTAGGATAACAATAAAAGTGATTAAAAAAAAAATTAAAATGAAAAAAGAGACAGCGTAGCAAAATACATTTTGACCTAAATTAATGACAAAATTTAAGTTTATTGCTTATTGTTTTAGAACAGAAATGAAAAAAACATTGTTTTTTTTCAATATTTTCGTTTTTAAATTTTGTTCATAACGCAAAAAATAAAAAACCCCAAAGCGATCAAACACCACCAAAGAGAAAGCTGCATTTGTGGGAAAAAATGACATAAATTTCAATTGCATTGCGTGACTGCTCAATTGTCAGTTAAACTAGTGCAGTGCTGTAGAGCAAAAAAAAAAAAAAAACAAACCGTAAATTCCAGTATCTATACCATAGTTTGTTGATGCTATAACATTCACATAAACCAATTAAAATACACTTATTGGGATTTTTTGTTACCAAAGACATGTAGCAAAATAAATTGTGGCCTAAATATAGGATGAATTTTGAGATTATTGGATATTTTTATTGACAGAAATGAGAATTTTTTTTTTTCTAAATTTTCAGGTCTTTTTTTGTTTATGGCACAAAAAAATAAAAAGCCCAGAGGTGATCAAATACCACCAAAAGAAAGCTCTATTTGTGTGAAAAAACGGACATAAATTTCTTTTGGTTACAGTATTACATGACTGCACAATTATTAGTTGAAATAGCGCATCGCTGAATATCAAAAAGTGGCCTGGTCAGGAAGGGGGATAAGTCTTCTGGAGGGCACAGACTCCAAGACTGGCCCACACCATTCACGGCTGAACGATCCAGATGGCATCCCCAGCATCCGAGCCCAGCCGAACACCACCGCTCACCTGCGGGAGCCGGAGAGACCCCCAGACCGGCCGCACCACCCACGGCTGAACGATCCAGACAGCATCCCCAGCACCTGTCCCCACGTGGCTGCATCCCCGGCATTCGTCCCCCTCCGCAGCGCCCAGGTACGTCGGGCACGCTGGGGAAGCGGCCAGCCGAGCCTCCCCGCCGATCCACCCCTGCCTCCACTACAGCAGCGCCCGTCCCTGCAGGGCCCAGCCACAGCCGCTGCCCAAACCACTACACCACCAGGGATATCAATACCAGGGCGCACACACACCACTACCCACCAGGGACTCAAGAATACAGGGGCAACCACATAAGCCCCCAGCCCTCAACCCTGCTGCCTCCCACCGCGCCCGCTGCAGCCCGCACATCGCACCCAGGCTGCTCCACACCACAACAGGGCCCTAAGCCACACTGACCACCAGGCCAACCGCACCGCCCAGCCTCACCTCACAACCCTACCACCCGGGTAGTCTGAGGGCAGGGGAGAGAGCACCGGCGGTCCCTCCGACCCTGCCGTGAAGCGCCAAAGGACTCGCACCACCTAGGCCGAGACCTACCTAAGCACCTGGCCTGCAAAGGCCTACCACGACACACACCCCCCACTGGACAACCCAAAGTGAGCCTGTACCTGGCCTAAAAGAACTGCACCCCCACACCCCCATCTTCACCCGTAGGAGTGATCTGAAGCGAGCGCTTCCCACACCACTGAGCCCAGCAGATGATCTCGGCCTAGCGAGGCCCACCACTGCCTCCCACGACGCAACCCTGCCCGGACCGCTGAGCTCAATGGACGACCTCGCCCTGGTGAAGCCTACCGTCGCCCACCTCAGCACAACCCTGCCAGGACCCGAAACCCATCTGGTGACCCCCGGGCATACACTGCGGGAGAAGGCCCGACTGCTGGTCCTGCGATCCCCCCACCACCTACATCTGACGCCCACCTCTCACAACCCTCTCTTCACCGCATCTCCACTACCTGGAAAACACCTCCGCTGCTGATCACCACCCTTCATCTCCGCAAATCAAACCTCACCCCTCAAACCGAGACTTTCATAAACTGATACTCGCAGCCTGATTACCCCTGGCTACAACCTTTCGACCTGAACTCTACCCATCCTGTTCCTAGGCACGAGAACTCTAGCTACCAAAAAGACACAGCGACAAGATACGCCACTGCACGCTAGACTATCTGCAACCAAGCCTCCCACCACACCTGTCCGCCACTCCATGAACCTCCCTACAATGCCTCCTCCACTCCTCCTCCGTTCCCAAAATCTCTTCCCGATACCCCTCTGCTCCTCCCAAACAACTATACATTGCGCCCTCACTGCTTCTTTCTCCCCTCTAAACGGCACCCACCACCTCCTCCTAATACTCCACTCTCCCACTGACCCGAACACCTCCACTGGTAGACTTACACGCCCCTGCTCATCCCGCTCCCATGCCAACTTTCTCACCCTTCTCCTCCTAACTACAGGTGACATCTCCCCGGACCCTGGCCCTCCGCCACCTCGCCCATTCGCAAGGCACCCTCCCACCTCCACCTCCTGCCGCAACACCCTCAACCTAGTACCTGTCCCTCTGCTCCCCAAACCCCCCCCCCCCCCCCCCCCCCCGTTTTCGTGTGCACTCCTGAACGCCCGATCGGTGTGCAACAAGCTCACCGCCATCCACGACCTCTTTGTTTCCCGTTCGCTCAACGTCCTAGCGATCACGGAAACTTAGATCCAAACCACTGACTCTATCTCCCCTGTAGCACTCTTCTATGGAGGTCTCATCTGGACCCACTCACCCAGACCCAACGGTCGTAAAGGTGGTGGGGTTGGTCTGCTCCTGTCACCACTGAGCACCTTCCGAGTCCTCCCAAACCCCCCCTCTCTATCCTCCTCCTTCGAGGCCCACTGCATCCGACTATTCTCCCCAACCCCCCTGAGGATTGCTGTAATCTACCGGCCTCCTGGACCCGCATTCCGCTTGCTTGATGACTTTTCTGCCTAGCTACCCTTCTTCCTCTCTTCCGAGCTACCCACTTCATCCTTGGAGACTTCAACATCCAGGTCAACAACAACCCGACCACATCCCAACTCCTCCACTTAATCTCCACTTTTGCACTCGCACAGTGCATACAATCCACCACCCACTCCGACGGGAACTCCCTAGACCTTGTCTTCTCCCACCGCTGCGCTCCCCACAACCTCAAACACCCCCTTCCCTCTCTCTGACCACAACCTTATTACCTTCTCTGTCTCCTCATCCTCTAACGCCTACCCCTCCAAATCCCAAACTACTACCAGCGGAAACCTACGCAACCTGAACCCCACCCCCCCCCTCCATTCTGCAGCCGATCAACTTTATGACAGCATCCTTCCCCTGTCCTGCCCCGACCTGGCCACAACTGCTTATAACAACTCGCTGTCATCCGCTCTTGACTCGCTAGCACCTTTAACCACACGAAACATCAGACCCCCGACGCTCCAGCCCTGGCAGACTGATCACACCAAAACTCTCAAACAATGCAGTCGTGCACTGGAGCGATTATGGAGCAAAGCCAGATCCCAACTAGCGTTCACCCGCTATAAATCCGCCTTCCACGCCTACACCTCCTCCCTCCACGCTGCCAAACAAGCCTACTTCCTGACCCTCATCAATACCCTCTCCTCCAATCCTCGCCGGCTCTTCTCTACCTTCAACTCTCTACTCTGTCCGCCCCCACCTTCACCCAGCACCTCACTCACCGCCCTCGAGATTACCAATCACTTCAAAAACAAGATTGACACTATTCGCAGGGACATTGGCGTGATCTCCTCCCCACCTATCTCCTCTCACACAGCAACCCCCTCATCACCCCTCTCCCTCGGCCTCACCACTGTCAGGACCTCCACCCCAGCTAACATCCCTCACACTGAAGCCCCCTCAACACTCCACTCCTTCGACCGTACTACCACCGAGGAGATCACCAAGGTCTTCTCCGAAGCCCGCCTCACCACCTGCCCCCTCGACCCTGTCCCCTCTCAGCTCCTACGACCTCCCTCCTCCTCCTCCATCTTACGCTCCCTCACCCACATCTTTAATCTCTCCCTCTCTTCTGGCACATTCCCCTCCGCTCTGAAGAACGCACACATCACTCCCATACTCAAAAAGCCCTCCCTGGACCCCACTGACCCGAACAACCTTAGACCCATCTCCCTGCTGCCATTTACATCCAAACTCCTCGAGCGCTTAGTCTACAATCACCTAAGCTCCCACCTCAACGACAACAACCTCCTCGACCCCCTAGAGTCCGGCTTCTATCCCCTACACTCCACCGAAACTGCCTTAAACTAACCAACGACCTGCTAACCGCCAAAGCTAATGGCCACTATTCAGTGCTCATACTCCTCGACCGCTCCGCGGCTTTCAACACAGTCGACCTCCCCCTCCTCCTCAAAAAAACTACACTCCCTTGGCCTCAAAGACTCCGCTCTCTCCTGGCACAACGCTCCTTCAACGTTACCTACAACACTACCACCTCCCCCTCACTTCCCCTCTCTGTCGGGGTCCCTCAAGGCTCTGTCCTTGGGCCCCTTCTCCACCTGCACCTCCTCCCTTGGCCAACTGATACACTCCCACGGCTTCAACTACCACCTCAATGCCGACGACACGCAAATCTATCTCTCGACCCCTCACCTCACCCCCTCAGTCTCTGCCCGAATCACTAGCCTACTGAACGACATATCAGATTGGATGTCGCTCCACTTCCTTAAACTGAACCTCTCCAAAACCGAGCTCCTAGTCTTCCCCCCAGCCCGCGCACACCCCCTTCACCAAAGAATTCTCCATCACTTCCAACAATGCCACCATAAGGCCCACCCCGCAAGCCAAAGTACTTGATTTCATTCTTGACTCCAATCTATCCTTCCAGCCCCAAGTCCAATCGATAATGAACTCATGCCGACTCCACCTCCGCAACATCGCTAAAATACGCTCATTCCTAACCCCGGAAACCACTAAACAACTCATCCACTCCCTCATCATATCACAACTCAATTACTGCAACTCCCTCCTCACTGGCCTCCCTCACCGCAAGCTATCCCAGCTTCAGTCGATCCTGAATACGACAGCCAGACTCATCCACCTTACCAACCGCTCCGTTTCCGCCACCACCCTCTGCCAATCCCTTCACTGGCTCCCGATTGCCCAATGGATTAAATTCAAAATGCTAACACTGACATACAAAGCTGTCCATAATATCGCCCCAAACTACATCTCCGACCTAATATCAAAATACCAACCAAAACGCACTCTCCGCTCCTCATAAGACCTCCTACTCTCTAGCTCCCCGGTCTCCTCCTCCCATACCTGCCTCAAGGACTTCTCCAGGGCATCACTCATCCTCTGGAACTCCCTATCCATCAGACTATCACCTACTCTCCTCTCCTTTAGGCACACCCTGAAAACCCACCTCTTCAGAGAAGCCTACCCCGTCCCCTGCTAACTGCCGATCTCCTACTCTCTTCCCACCACTCCATCCCCCACAGCTTTTCCTCCTGTACCACTATCCCCTCCCTCCTAGATTGTAAGCTCCAAGGAGCAGGGCCCTCGAACACCTCATGTATCACACTGTATTGTCATTGTACTGTCTCATGTATTGTCTCCCATTGTAATGTACAGCGCTGAGCAAACTATTGTAGCTATATAAATACTGTATAATAATAATAAGTGGTTATATTAGCATGATGAACTGAACTGTGACAGAACAATGCTAACTATTCTGAAAAGGTTCAGTATCTTATGTTAAATCAGTGTTTCTTAACCTTTTTTCAGGCAAGATGCACTTTAAAATTATACACAGTCTAGAGGCACCCCATTCTAAAATGTAAAACCGTAACATATGGATTTACACATGGCTTTTCTTCAACGCGAATGCAGTTCCGGCACCTCCAGCACTGAATGTATGTAATGACAAGGGGTGCTGGAGGATCTATTTTTGCTGACTGCTGGGGGATCTATTGTCACTTAAGGGGAAGGGGATCTATTTTTATGTGGTTTATTGTTGCTGGGGAGGTCTATTGTTGCTGGTGGGGGATAAATGATTCATGGGGGGTCACTTGTTGCTGGAAGGGATCTACTGTTGAGCAAAGGGTCTACTGTTGCTGGCTGCTGGACAGTCCATTGATGCTGGCTGCTGGGAGATCTGTTATAGCTGCTGAGGGCCTGTTGTTGCTGTGGGGGTATTTATTTGGGGGCCCATTGTTGCTGGAGGAGTTTATTGTTGCTGGGGGGGGTCTATTGCTGCTGGCTGTAGATCTATTTTTATACTTTTGTTTTTAGCATTAACAAATTCCATACAAACTGTTTAGCACCAAAAAATTATACTTTATTCTTAAAAAGAAGAGGTACTGGGAGGTGGGTAGGGGCTAAGACAAGACGTGACCCAGAAGGGGGGATTTTCTGCGCCTATTTTTGGAAAAAAACGCCCTGGATTTACATAATGCAGCAACATCTGCACACATAGGACACTCAACATTAGAGGTGACTTATTCTTCCACTTTTGCACACTGGTACTGACTAGCACTCCAATATTTATCTTCTCAGTCTCTCTCCCTCACTTAGCTAATGTGACCACAGTGCTGATGGAGTGGGGCAGGGAGGGGCAAGCAAAATGCTGTTCAGGTACTCGATGGCCACCTTATCATTGGTTGCTAGAACACTGGCGGCTAGAAGGTTGCAATGGTGCACAAAGAAAACCTATGGCTTTGTGTAACAAAGGCAGGCTTGATCCACCTACTGACTTGTATACAATATTTGGACACTTTTTAAGCTTTTTTTTTGCCAAGGCACCACAGAATAAACCTGAAGGAACCCTAGTTGAAAAAGGCGGTCTTATATCATATATAGTCCACACATAGTCCTAGTACCTCTGAATCTCTGTTGCTAGCAATTACTAGCACCTCCTGGCACAGTAGCCCAGTTAGCACATAAGTAGCATCTGAGGATATGCCTTGATTGCAAACAGTGTGTGCTTGCAGTAATAAAAGAGGTTGTAAAGGCTCAGGGTTTATTTTAACTTCATGCATTCTATGCATGAAGGTAAAAAACCTTCTGTGTGCAGCAGCCCCCTCAATACTTACCTGAGCCCCATCGCGATCCAGCTTTGGCTGTCCCGGGTCTCTACCTCCTCACTGGCTGAGACAGCAAGCGGGAGCAATTGACTCCTGCTGCTGTCAATCACAGCCAGTCAGCCAATGAGGAGAGAGAGGGTCGGGCCAAGCTGCGACTCCGTGTGTAAATGGACACACGGAGCAGCAGCTCAGAAACACGACTGCTCGGGTGCCCCCATAGCAAGCTGCTTGCTTGCTATGGGGGCAATCGACAGCAAGGAGGAGCCAGGAAGAGGAGGATCTGGGCTGATCTTTGCAAACCACAGGTAAGTATAACATGTTTGTTATTTTACTAAAAAAAATAATTTAATCTTTAGTATCGCTGAGCTTTTTTGTAAAACATCTATGATAGTTACCAAAAGAACAGTGAAATGCAGTCTGACCTTTTGACATCCAAGGCCAAACCACACAACCCAGATGGACCAGTCAGGATAAATGACCACTTTTTACACAATTACTGCATATTACGCATTGTATTCTCTAGTGGTGTCTGAATGCCACAAAGTTCTGTCAGTGGTACATGGAGACTTGGACACATGAACAGAAATGGCAGTCAGTCACTAGACTCATTTAAAGTGGAACTTCACTCTCTCAATCAACACTGACTATTTTTAATCCTTAAGCTGCTACCATTAGTAATTAGATAGGAAAGTACATTATATTTACTTGTTTTACTGTTTTGTTTAGTTTTTCTTTTTTTGGGGGGGGGGGGGGGAAGTTACATTTCTTCAGTTACTTCCTGGCTTCTATACCTAGGCAAATGATGTCATACATCCCAGGAGTCTTCTTCAGGAGGGGTTTTCTCAGCTAAGCACACTCTCATGCCTACAAGCCTTAGCTAAGGGCAGATGGATTCCAGGAAGTAAATGCTACATAAATAGTTTGCCCTTACTCAAGATGGCCACAGCCAGAAATGCTAGGGGATGTTTTTCAAAGTGATTTCTCAGCAAAATAAATCATGCAGACATGGATGGATGGGGAAGTTTGCTTTGACTATTAAAAATTACATTGTGTTCAGGGGTGTGGAAATTTTTGAAAAAAACTACTTTAGTCCAGGGACTAAATTGGTGTCTCAATCTACTTGTCCCTCATGACAATCTACTTCTTGATAAGAAAAAAATTTTTTTTTAACCAAAACCGTATTTAACCACCTCCCACCCGCCATATAGTAATATGACGAACGCAAGGTGGTTCTCTCGTTCTAGGAGGATGTCATATGACGTCCTCCCATTCTAACCGCGCAATGCGCGGCTCCCAGAGCGCAGCGATCGGCGGTGCGCTGTGTCTCGCGGACACAGCGGATCACCGATCCACGGAAAGAGCTGAAGATGTTGGCTCGGTCATGTGATCAGCTGTGTCCAATCACAGCTGATCACATGTAAACAGGGAAATGTCTCTGACAGCTCGTGAGGAGAGGAGAGCCAGTAATTGGCATTCCTTGGAGGGGACATGTACACAGATCATAAGAGCACTGATGATCAGTGTGCCCTGATGATCTGTGTAGCCCCAGCAGCGCCACTTGTCAGTGCCAGTGTCACTTGTCAGTGCCCATCTGTGCCACATTTCGGTGCCCATCTGTGCCACATTTCGGTGCCCATCTGTGCCACATTTCGGTGCCCATCTGCGCCACATCAATGCCACATATCAGTGCCCATCTGAGCTGCCTTTCAGTGTCACCCATCAATGCCAGTCAGTGCCACCTATCAATGCCCGTCAGTGCCACCTGTCAGTGCCATATATGAGTGCTGCCTTTCAGTGCCCATCAGTGATGCATGTCACTGCCCATCAGTGCCACCAACCAGTGCCTCCTCATCAGTGCCCATCAGTGCCACCTATCAGTGTCCATCAGTGCAGCCTATCAGTGCCCATCAGTGCAGCCTCATTAGCGCACATCAGTGAAGGAGAAAAATCACTTATTTACAAAATTGTATAACAAAAACTAAGAAAAAACTTTTTTTTTTTTCAAAATTTTCAGTGGGTTTTTTCTTTGTTTAAGAAAAAATTAAAAACCCAGAGGTGATTAAATACCACCAAAATAAAGCTCTGTCACAAAAAAATGATAAAAATTTCATATGGGTACAGAGTTGCATGACCGCACAATTGTCAAAGTGCAACAGCGCTGAAAGCTGGAAATTGGCCTGGGCAGGAAGGGGGAATAAGTGCCCTGTAGGCTAGTGGTTAAATCTGCTTTAAGTAATGTCTGGGGCTTTAAAAACAAAAGGGGTTTTATGGCGACTTAAATGTTTAATATTTTTAACATTGCGTTGTTTATCTCCTCCTCCCTTGCAGTGTAATGAGCACCGATTAGTTGCTCCTTAGGAAAAGGGAGTGTCTGGCTTTATTCCTTTCACTGCCAGAGCGGTTTTTGCTTTTTTTGCACACATTTAAAAAATCATTTAAGGCCTGAAAATTACACAAAACCTCCAAAACAATTTATATTTTCTGAAATCATAGATCCTAGAGAATAAAAATAGTGGTAGTTCCAATTTTTTATGTCACACGATATCACAAAATTTCAGTAACAAATACACTTAAGGTAATTATAGGGCACATAAAGCAAGAAATTATCCAATTTTTTGTAGAATATAAAAGATGAGGTTGCATCGAGTAAATGGATATCCAACTTGTCAAAACTTAAATTTGTGCGCACTTATAAAATGGCAACAAACTTTAGTAACCCTATATTTTCTATAGGTGACACTTTTATAGCCCCTTATAGGTCATCAGTTTAGATTTACGGAGGATGTCTGGTGCTAGAACGATTGCTCTTATTCTGGCGTGCGTGGCGATATGTAACATGTTTATCGCAATAGTTGTTTTCATGCATAGGCGCCCCAGCGCTTTTATGTTTGTACGTGCGTACATATGTGGGGGTGGGGGGCCTTGAAAAATGTTTGGGGGGTTATATGCTTGGATGTAACTTTAATTTTAAAAAAATATATTTTTTGTTAACTTTTTTTTTCATCACATAGGGGACAAAAAGTCCCCTATATGATGATGTTTTGTGACAGGTTCTCTTTTTTGAGACATCCAGGGTCTAAAAAGACCCTGCATGTCTCCCCTGTGCTTCACTAAATGTAATGCAGTGCATATCACACTGCATTACATTCTTTCCTGGCCACGAATCGGTCTACGGGGACCTAGAAGTGACGTCGCATTACTTCCGGGTCAGGACAAAGGGAACGAATGTGTTTGCTCTTCTCCCTCCCCTATAGTCGCTGGCAGCCACTGACTGGTCCCGGGCCCGCAGATGGGCAAGCGGAGCCTGGGAGGCATAGCGGGCAGAGGGGGGGGGCGGAGGCTGACGCCATAGTGGTCTGTGTGGAAGCAATCAAGTGGCAGCGCTGCCACCCGAATGCTTCCACCTGACAGATGAGCCCTGCTACTTGCCCACAGCAGGGCTAAAGGTAAAAAAAAAACTACCTGCCTGGTACCAAGAACTGCATGTCCCGGGCGTCAGGCGATAGAAATTGAAATTCGTGGTGTTTTTGGTTTGTGGTGCTCAGTTACTGTGTAGTTCGAAAACTACCACACTGAAGACTACTACTACAAAAAGAAAAAGTTACTTGTACCTTTTAATGCCTTCTGTGTTGTGTTCATTGCGACCAAAAGCCTCCAATGCTGCTGCATACGATCCAAGATTTGGTTTTAATCCAGCATTTGTCAACATTGTGAAAATGCGCCCAATATCAGGCAATGAGGCCTGTAAAACAAGCACAGATTAAAAAGCTGTATTTGAAGTTATAAAACAGACTACTCAGGGAATGAATAAAGTATGCTGGACCAGAAGATAACTAGTCATTACAGAATGAAACAACATTGTCACCAAAGACAGTACAAACAGGAAATTATTTCTACTAAAGCACTCAACCATATCAGAACAGTTTAAAGGAAAAGTTCACCCATGGGAACATATTACTTGCTCCACCCGTTTTTAGAGTGGAACTTGAAACATGTTGCCGCTCGGGGATCGAAGCACCTGGTAAGATAGCAGTACAGGGAGAAATTCTCCGTACCAGCTGCCACTTTTTGAAAAGAGCGCAACCATACAGGGCTCTGCCCACATATCCTTTAACGCTTAGTCACACATCTACACACTGATAATAAAATCTAGGATTTTGGGTTTACCTGTAAAAACTTTTTTTGACCTACATCACAGGACAGAGGAGTAATTACTACATGGGTTATGCTGCCACCTTCTGGTGAAAGGACACTGGCTAGAAAGGCAGGTATCCCTGCCCAGCAATAACCCCTCCCAATCAGCTAAGCCTCAGTTTTGCAGCAAGCATTGTGGAACACAAGCTAAGGGGGAGGGATCTTTGTGACCGGTTATGTACTCCAAGAAAAATATTTTACAGGTAAACCAAAAATTCTATTTTCTTAATTGTACATCACGGGACACAGAGGAGTTAATAGTCATTACTACATGGGATAGTTACATAGTCTGGCTGAAAAAAAAGACACATGTCCATCTAGTTCAACCAATAAAGAAAAAATAAAACCCTATAATCCTATACCCACAGTTGATCAAGAGGAAGGCAAAAAAAAACCCCAGCAAAGCATGATTTAATTTGCTCCTGCAGGGGAAAAAAACTCCTGCCTGATCCCCTGAGAGGCAATCGGATATTCCCTGGATCAACTTTACCTATAAATGTTAGTATCCAGGCATATTATCTGTATCTAGGAAAGAATCCAGGCCTTTTTTAAAGCAATCTACTGAGCTGGCCAGAACCAACTCTGGAGGGAGTCTATTCCACATTTTCACAGCTCTTACTGTCAAGAAGCCTTTCTGTATTAAATCTCTTTTCCTCCAGACATAAAGAGTGCCCCCTTGTCCCTGTGATGACCCAAGGTGAATAACTCTACATCGGCTTCACTATATAGACCACTTATGTATATATACATGTTGATCATATCCTCTCTCTCCTCTTCTCAAGAGAGAATACATTCAACTCCTTTAATCTTTCCTCATAGCTGAGCTCCTCCATTCCTCTTATCAGTTTGGTTGCCCTTCTCTGTACTTTCTCCAGTTCCCCAATGTTCTTTTTATAAATTGGTGCCCAAAACTGAACTGCATATTCCAGATGAGGTGTTACTAATGATTTGTACAGGGGTAGTATGATATCTCTCTCTGGAGTCTATACCTCTTTTAATACAAGAGAGGATTTTGCTCGCTTTAGAAACCGCAGCTTGGTATTGCATGCCATTATTAAGCTTGTGATCTACCAGAACCCCCAGATCCTTCTCCACCATTGATTCCTCCAGTTATACTCCCCCTAGTATTGAACCCCAGCCCAGACTTGAACCCAATTGAACATCTCTGGAGAGATCTGCAAATGGCTGTGCACCGACACTCCAAATCCAACCTGATTGAGCTTGATAGGTACTGCAAAGAAGAATGGGAGAAATTGCCCAAAAATAGGTGTGCCAAGTTTGTAGCATCATACTCAAAACGATTTGAGCCTGGTGCTTAAACAAAGTATTGAGCAAAGGCTGTGTATAATTATGTACATGTGGTTTAATTCGTTTCTTATTTTTAATAAATTGTAAAGATTTCAAAACGAACTTCTTTCACATTTGTCATTATGGTGTATAGTTTGTAGAATTTTGAGGAAAAAAATGAATTTAATCCATTTTGGAATAAGGCTGTAACATAACAAAATGTGGCAAAAGTTAAGCGCTGTGAATACTTTCTGCTGTAGCGCCATGGTAGTTCATTGAAGCGTCCTGTCAGTATATCTGCTTGCTCATACATCCCTTACGGGCAAGCAGATATTCTGACAGGTCTGCAGGAGACCTGCATGGCATCAGCGATCTACTACAATGCTTTACAGGCGCCTTTGTACAAAAATAATACACATTTTTTTACCTGCAAAAAAAAAAAAAAAAAAACTTTTGTTAAAAACTTAGATTTTGCTTTTGGACATTTATAAAGGGATCAGAGGGTTAGGTAACACAGCAACAGAAAAGGCACAACCCAGACCCTTTGTCTAAAACTAGTGCCCACAGAGGCAAAAATATCAATGTGATAGAACTTTGTAAATATGTGGTAGCAGCCTTACAAACTTGAACAAAAGCTCGATGCTGAATGGCCCAGGAAGCACCAACAGTCCTCATGGAATGGGCTATAACTGGAATTGGGAGGAACCTTGCACTAAATTCCACAGGATGAGCTGGCGAATTCACCTAGAAATAGTGGATTTAGAAGTAGACTGAACCCTATGTTGTCCTTCAAGCAGAACAAACAGGGAATTGGACTGTTAAAAGAAAGCTGTGGACTTCTGATAAATGGGAAAAACTGCAACAACAAGTGTGAAGCGCTCTTTTGGAAACCACCATAGGCATTAGAGAGGATCGAGACCTCAACAGAACCTTATCCTATTGAAGACCTAGAAAAGGTTGCTTGTAGGAAAGCACAGCCAACTCCAAGACCCTGCGAGCTGAGGTAATGGCCACCAAAAAGACAACCTTGCACGTAGGAAGCAGGGAGGGAATCTCTCAGGTTGAATAGAAGACTGCAAAACTGATAAAGTGTTACTAAACCCACAACAGTACAACGAGTCTGTATATGCCTTAAAATGCTTTTATACTCACTGTGGAAGCTAAGGGGTTAATCCACCGTTCTGTGTAAAAAAAAAAAAAGGCAGTTTGATCCCATCTGCTCTGATCCTCCCCTTTTTTTACTGTCCCCAACTAATCTGCCACAGTACAGAGCAGCAGTGCCAAGTCTGTACATGCTCTATTTGGTCTGTATTGTTGAAGAGTTCCTTTTTTTTGGGGGGGGGAGTTGCATGTGATTGGCACAGGGCCAATCAGTGCTGTCCAGAGGGTCATGCAGCCTCATAGAACTGTAATAGGAGAATGAAAACTCCTCCTCCAAGATTAACCAGTGACATGCCCAAATCCAGGACATTGCTGCACTCCTTAGTATCTTTATTGAAGTATTAAAGTGACATCACAGGTATAACAGAAACATTAAAAAGGTGACGTGTATTGCACTATATTCATCGTTTACTCAAAACTTCTAGGTATAGGAGGTTTGAGTAAGTACTGAATTTAGCGCAAAACATCACCTTTTTAATGTTCTTGTCATACTTGTGATGCCATTTTAATGCTTCAATAAAGATACCAAGGAGTGCAGCAAAATTCTAGATTTGTGCATGTTACTGAATCTCACAGACGCGCTATGCAGCACCCTGGGTTCCAGTTCACAACATGCAAGAGTCGTTTACTCACCTGGAACAGCATTGTTTTGGCTTTACTGATCAAGATTAACCAGTGCTCAGCCAGACACTGATATAAGTCACAAGATTCTATATACTACAGATGAGAAAAGTTACTTAGCAAATTATATTTACTAAAAATGTAATTTCCATGTTCTCTGTACTGTGGAAGACTGGATATGGTAAATGCAGGGTCATGGGTTTAGTAACACTTTAAAGGCCTAAGGAAATAGAGGGGATCACACAGGAGGAACAATCTGAGTGACACCTTGTACAAAAGCTTTGACTAAGGAATGAGATGTAACAGGTCTCTGACAAACTATGGCCAAGGCTGAGATTTGTCTCTTGATGGTACTCAAAGCCAAGAACCAGACCAGACCAGAGAAACGCTATATTCGTCCCCATGACATACTGTCAAAAATGGAACTTTTAAAATTCACACCAAGTAATATAAGCCTTCAAAGTACAAAAAACATTACACCTTACTGGAGGTTGACTTTCTAGTCCTGAAAAGGGTAAGAACCACAATCTGAAACTCCCCCGTCTTTAAGGACCTAGGTTTCAACAGCCATTCTGTCAAAGCCAGGATGGAATATCAGACCATGAGACAGCAGGTCTGGGTGATCCGAAGAGCCCACAGTGTAGAGGTCTAACATGTTTGCTTACCATGGTTTTCTTGGCCAGGTCAGTGAGATCAGGATCACTGGAATGCCCTCCACCCTTATCAAATTGTCCAGTTTGTTGTTGAACATGGAAGCCAAGAAATCCACATCTGGCAGAACTATTGTCCCCAGTGGAAGATTTCCCCTGTATTACTGTTCTGGTAATCAGACAACCCAAAATTTGGGATTTTCTTTTACTTTCAATAACAGTAAGCAGGAGAAATAGAAAGGGTTAATCTCCCTAATGGGCAGAGGTAGCAATAAAAAAACCTAACAGGTGTTCTAATTCATCATCACTCTGTAAAAAAAAAAAAAAAAAAAAAAAGAAGAAGAAGCATGACTTCCTGTGGTATGCCACCACAGTGGCATGGTTTTACTGTACTTTTAGGCTGTAATCACACCTCAGCTTAGCGATTTACTGGTGTTTATATGTGAGAGCTTTTGAGCATTTTTAGAAGTGTATTACAAGTGTTTTACAGCTTCTGGAGTTTTTGTTAAGCCAATAGAAAGCACTAGAGGGAGGACAGAAGAAGGAAATTAGGGGTGGAGAGCTGCTGTTTGAGCAGAAAATACGCAACAAAATGCTTACGTTTTCAGACGTTTCTATTGAAGTCATGGGGCCATAAAGGCTTGTAATCTGCCAAAAAGAAGCTCATGTACTTTTCTGAGCAACAGGCATTTTCCTTCAGGTGACAGAATACTCATATGTGAACAGGGGCTATTGAAATGAATGGGATTTGGCTTGTTGAGCATTTTAAAGCAATAAGCTTCAAGCGGAAAATCACTCAGGTGAGAACGGGACCTTACAGGGAGGCCCT